TTGACTGTAAGGAATAATCAGAGGTTCGTCACAACATTGACACTCGTTTGAAACGTTTCTGTTTCCAGGCCCGGTCCAAGGAAAATTCAGAATCGGACTAGGGTCCGACCCCAGAGAAGAGTCCTAGACGTGGAGATGATAACATGACGATGACTGGTGTAGAGCCTTCGTGTGGTAGCCACCTGATGTATAACTGAGCGTTCTGCAGTGGGAAACTCGTGTGATTGGAGCAGTTAGTTGACCTGCAGTGATGTGATTACACAGTAAAACTCTGTACAAAATATGATGGGTTCCAGGGTGTATCCTCGAACACAGACACACAACACGACGTTCTACTACTATTGGCATCACGTTACCGCGGGCAGAGAGTCTGTGGGGAAACAGAGTGAGTAAAGACAGAGAGAGAGAGAGAGAGAGAGAGAGAGAGAGAGGGATTCACTGGCAGACAGAGGCTAAGAGGCGGTTCCTCAGGGACTAAATATCACCTATATCAGATTTTTTTACAAAACAAAATATGAAACTGGAGCAGGTGGTATGTAATCTGTACTATGATTTGTGATTATTGAATTATTTAGTAGTCTGAAAGCCCCTCTACCTACGGTAAGGCCTATTGCCTGGGGCATAGTGAGTCACGTAATTGTAATACTGCCCAACCCTAGTGACAGAGACACCGATCATCGCCCGCTGTGAAATCAGACCAAGCCCGCGTTCCTGGCCCCGTGCCTTTGCTTCCAAAGTCAGAATGAAAAAACATTTAGAGATTTATTCTTTTTAATCTTTTACACATTTTCCTAGAAGACGTTCTGGATCATTTTTTTGCAAATGTCTCCAGTGGGGCCCACATCTGGGGGTCTCATGTACTGGACTGCATGCTCAGATGTGATACTCCAGCTCAGGGCTCGTCACCCCCCCCCCCCCCCCCACGTTGGAGAAATGGAGCGAGGAGCCCTAGTAAACATCTGACACCCATTACATGTTTTACATTTTGTAGTTATGCTTTTGTTTAATCAAATTCTATTGGCTCGCACAATCCCAAAAAGAAACCGTGGACACAGTAGTTACAAGGTTTATTGTTTTACTGATGATTTACTGATATATAAACTAAATATTTATGACGCCTCTGTTTCTCGTTCTACTTTTACAAAAGACCTGTTTTTTTTTAAGGCTTTTTTTTGCTCCACACCTGCTGTGGTATTAAATATATTTTTGCAGAAAAATCCACTAAAAACCAAAACTAGCGCATTATGGTTTTAAATTCACTGATAATCACCCGCTGGGCAACTCAATACAGCCGAGCCACTGACACCAAGTGTAAGTCAATGAGTACGACTCAGTATGAACAATGGCTTAAAAATAAAACTCAGTATTGATTTTGTGTGTGTGTGTGTGTGTGTGTGTGTGTGTGTGTTCAGGAGAAACAGAGACGAGAAGCGTTTCACACACGTGAGAATTATTTTCAAACAAATTGATTAACAATTATCTCGTGAATCCATAAAGGTGATAAATATCAGGGTCAAATTATTTCCACATTTGATGGGTAGTATTTTAACACAGTAGTAGTGTTCTGAAGTACAAAATACTTGCAATCATTACTACAATACTTCTCGTTACTTCTTGGTTTCTTATCTGTTCTCAGGATCTGAGTCTTTGTTTTATTTTTTTATCTGTCCCTCAGTTTTTGCCCCTTTCGTCTTTATGACTGTTAAAATCTG